TGTGTCAGAAATCCACTATCCATGGACCAAGTCTGTACCTGTTTGAATATACCTGAGGAAATGAAGGAGCACTTGATTATAATTTCACCTTTAAAATGACCTCGCCTAGTTCTCTTGGTAGAAATGTTTTGTGGAGTTTGAAATACTGCTAACATTTTTCTGTGTTCCTTTAATACCTGATTCTTCTGTTCTATCTGTCATTATTCTTGGCTGTGTAATATGTTTTGACCAGTTTAGTGCTGCTATTCACAATCTTTTTTCCTGTTAGCTGAATTTCTAAGAATATCCCATAACCGTAGCTCATACTTTTGTTCTTTCTAGGACCTACCACTTTCATAATTACCATTATGCTTTAAAACACGTCAGAGATAATTGGATTTTAACCTGGCAAATTCAAAATTCATTTATCAGAGCTGTATGGTTTTGAATTGATATTGATCAATACTGTATTGATCCTGCAAGAGACTACATGAATCCTCCTCCTCCACGCACCTTTCTAAAAGGACCAAAGCACATTTATTCCCTTCAGTCTCTTAAACAAGTGAATAAATGCCCAGACCTGGCCACTCCTCACTGGCCATCACATGGGGGATGTGGGGCTGCCCAGGCCACACCTGACATCGTGCCCGTAGCTCTACAGCCCTGGGAGGATGGGGCCTCTCAGAAACCGAGTAGACTTTGGCACAGCCTGAAGTGCTTTCCAGATATAATCTGCTGTTAATGAGTAAGATATTAAATGATATTGGTAAGGTTCTGCTGTATAGCTTTTTAATTTTTGAATGTGGGTTTGAAGGAACACACAATAGCACATTCAATAAAGTTCAATTATTTTTCAAATACTATTCAATTACTATTAAGTACACATACGGTGTTAGCTGATATTTTGCTCGGTGTTTGTACTGTAGCAGATTTGGTTGTGTAATTTTGTTTTGTAGATAGAGCAGGAGACACCTGCATTCACCTCTAAAAATTTTTATGTATCTAGATAGGGATTATATTTACACTGGAAAATGCATTTTGTTATCGATTAAGATTTTGAAAATAAATCTGTTTATACTCCATTTCAGGGGTAGCTGATGACTGCATACTGCACTGTTGATAAAATAGGAGATACACACAATAGGAATTAGTGTTTATTACAGAAACAGGAGACTAGAGATGGAAAAATATATTAGATCATTCTAGCTAGTCCTGTCAACGGGGAGGTTTTTCTTATTCAATGTTTTTCATTCTTTTCTTCATTTATGGCAAATAATTCATATCCAAGTAATATCATAATGGTAAGGGTAGAGCAGAAAGAGTGTCATGGGTAATAGGATTGCCACAGTTCCCCTGAAATATGTTTCATAGCCTCATGCCTCTTATTTATAGTTCAATTCCTTGGTTCCATTCTGTTTGGTTTTCATTCCTTAGTATCTATATTCTTCAAGGTTTACTCCTCGTTATCCTAAAACCTTATAATAATGTCATAATTAATGGGAAAAAATATTTGTTAGGGTTGGAATCTGTCCTATTGATAATGTGGAGGCTCATTCAAGTTTAACAAATCTTTCTGAACTTAAATAGACTAAAAGGAGTGAATTTGCTATGTGATCTTAGCAGACATTTATAAAAACATTTTGATGCCACTTGTATTGCAAGCAGTAGAAGATATAACTATATCCAAAAACAAGGACAGGAACCTTTGACTAACATATAAATCTTAAGGTTCTAGATTTTTTTTTTTTCCAAATGGCTTAAGTAACTGTAATTTCCACACTTAGGAAAGAGGAAAGAGTATTCCTGAAATTCCCCAAAATGGAATGTCAGGTCACTGTGTTTGATATTTAAGACACCCTTCTACATTGGGCATAAAGCAAAAACCTATCAAGCCCTCTGGGCAAGTCTATAAACCCATTGTATCTTCATCCCTCTCCAGGCCTACATGGCTGTTCAGCCAACAGCATTTAATTTTAGAACCTTTTAGGCAATTAGGGGTCTTGTTGAGAGTGAAATCTAATCACGTTTTGAAATGCAATAGTAATACTTTTTTTAGTAATATAGCTATAAGTACCTTCTTGTACTGAGATAAGTAGGTTATGTTGTATTTCAAACTTTCACCTTTTAAGATGAAAATGAGATTGGGAGGGGGAGATGTTACCAGAAGACAAGTTGCAGAATGCTCTTTCCTACTTATTAAGTTACAGATCCAGTGTCTGAAAGCTAAGTCTATTTGAACAGTGGATGAAACGCTTAGCGAACCTGAAAAACTTTAGTTATTTGATTCTGGCCATGTTTAATTTGCTAAAAATTAATTATGTATTTGATTACGTATGGGAAATATATAAAAGGTCTTCCCTGAAATATAATTCTTATAATCACCATGCTAATATGCAACATCCTAACATGCTACCAAAGATCTCAACTTAGCAAAATTAAATTTTGGAATCCTGTTCAATAGGATTCATATTTTGATTTCCAGGCAATAGACTTTATTTGCAATGTTTAGACTGAGATTCAGTTCTTTTACTTTGCCTGAGATACTGAGGTGTTGTAACCATGCTGACACACTAGCTAAGCAATTCCTTTCTCTGCCAAATATATGGTTAGTTTTCATCTTTGCTAACATGTACAAACTTATGTAATGAAATTTGGTATTTTTGCAAACTATTCATTTACAAATAACATGCCCTTATAGTTCCTATTACATAAAAGCTTACATAAGTAGACAAATATATAGTTATGTGCTGGGAACACTTCATTAATGACACAGAGAAAGGATTTCCTGTAGAACAGATGGCCCTTGTAGTGTTAACCAAACTGTTCATCTAAACCAGCATTGTCTGGAACCTAATGCCCTCAGGCAAGGATCCGACCCAGTTGTGGAGAGGCACCATGCAATCGCGACAGATGGTCATGTGTTGAGGCAGCCCAAAGACCGTGCATATGTACCGAGGGTGGATGTTGAGGTCTGAAGCTCACAGTGGAGAATATTCAGGAGGCTCATGGCTATCGGGTGTCCTGGTGTCCTAGTCTGAACAACATTAATGTAAAAAAGCAAGGGCACATGAGAACTTAAATTGAATTGAAGGAAGAAAGCAATAGTTTCTTAGCCCTTCACCCAGTTATCACTGGATAGGTCAATAAGGTACAGAAACTTGTTTCAATAGCTTCAGTCAGACTAAAGAGACTATAAAATTTAGTCCATCATTCTGCAGTGAGTTGAATGAGTGACAGTAACAAATACTTAAAATGATACATTTCCAATTTTTTAAAGCAAAAATTTAAATACACTAATGGTTGTTATATTAGTGTTTCTTATAACTTTTATCTATATATATTAATAAAATCTTAATCAAGACTCCTTCTGTATTAAGAATGTGCTTCAATCAGCTGGAATTGCTCTTGATAAGGAACAGGAATCTCATCTTCAAAAGTTGAATTTTAATCCAGTTTATGGTTGCTTTCCACATTTGCAAAGAGATTTGCTCTTTTCATCCAGGAAGAGTATAGTTTTGAGAGATATATGTGATGACAGAGATTTCAGAGGAGTAAATAAAAACACAGTAGAAAGAATATCAAAACACAGAAGGGACTAAAGTGACCTAATAAAAACATAATATTGGTTTGCAATGAGGAAAAGGAGTGAGCTGGAAAATATAATGGAGGGAATATATGTTTAAAATTGAACAGTTTGAAGCCTAGAAAGTAACTGCCCTTAACATTCATTTTAAAGTGGGGGTTTTTTTACTATCTTTTCACAATAAAAGTTACAGGAGGCACAAGTGCAACTGTCATTCATTTCTTTTTGACTGTCATACTGAACTGGAGTTGGGAAGTGCCACTGATTCTTCACAGGACCATCCCAAGAGCCGGGGATCTACAGATTGTGGAAAGTCTTTAGACATGGTCTTCTCTACCCTGCCATGCCCCAGCAGACAGTGAGGGTATCAGTAAGGGTTACAGAAGCTCTATTATGCTGATATTTCAAGCATGTGGCAATCAAATCCTGTGCCTTTAGAGCTGTTTTGGACCATTATTCTATGGCTTGAGATCTAGCCCATTTTGTGTATAGCTGCAATGGGCCTGATTCTGCTTTTACAAACGATACATTTACCCAGCTATATTGCCACTGAAATCTAGGGTGTTACGCTAGTATAAAATCCATGTGTGTAAGGAGAATTTGCCATGCAATTGGTTTTGCATTCATTTAGTAATGATATTTACAGTGAATTTCATTTGCAGCTTTCATAGTTAAGTAGATAAAGTTACTTTTTTTTTATTTAAAAAAGCAAGATACTGCAATGTATCTGCAATGCTATCTGTTCTTTAACTCTGGTGTTTACCCCTCTGAACTAACCACATAGCTACCAGCATGTGCATTGTGAAAGAAAGTGTAATGTATCTGCAGCTGAAAAAACAAAATGAGTACTTGATCTGGACAGGATACATAACACTACCAAAATCTTGGAAATTCTGTTCAAACAGATGGGTGGATAATGTATTTTATTTACCTGGTTCGTGTCCAGTGTGCTTGTTTGGAGATCTGTGGAAATATAACAGGGATTAAATATCTCTTGCAGGAGGGAATAAGTATTTGTGTGAGGTGTGAAGGCATGGAAGGAGATGGCTGGGGAGAGGACTGAACAAGTGTCTCATCTTTGTGTTTTTCAGATTCACTCTGTCCTGTGGAAAATGTAATTTACAGTTGGGAAAGTAAGATATATGACACCCTGCTGAGAGAGAATGGAAGACTTGAGGTTGCTTAGTTTCTTTCAGATTTCTAATATGACATGCCTGGTCAATGGTGCTCTCTTTTCCTGAATAATAATAGTATTACAAGAAACTAAAACAGGTTTGTGTGCTCATTAGATTTTAATTGTCAGTTTTCAGCATTGCAAGTAGAAGAAGCTATAATGACCAGTCTGCCAATGCAAAGTGAAATGGAAATGATAATGCCCAAGGAGAAATGAGAGTTCAAAAAGAAACATCTTTTGAAACAGTGATATCTTACAAAACAGAAGAAAGAATTTACTGACAAGGTGATCTTTTAATCATTACAAGCTAATACACTTAGGTACATATTTTATATATATTTATATACAGACCTTTTTAGACCCTATGGATCTCACAGAACAACTGCGTCTTGAACATTTTAGTTGCTAAACTAAGGGTAGTAGTAGACATTTATGTATCAGCTTTATCCCAGAACCTTACAGAATTTCTCATTACATTTCTCTGAGATAAATATGAATTGGTTTCCCATAAAGGAAAGTGAAGATATGAAGTCACACAGGCTGTGTCTAAGTTGTATGGTATGGATGCTCCATGGGCACCTATGTAGGTACTTCCATCCAATCACTCAGACTGAAAATGTGCCACAGCCCCCTTCTAGTCTGTGTATCTGGGTTTTCCTAGCTCTTACTCTTGACGTGGGACTGATTTGAGTCAGGGCATCCACACAAAAGCGTAGATTAGGAAGAATTCCTGGACCCCAAGCATAGACATAATCATGAAAATCGGAGTTAAATCTGAATCAGCAGTTCAATTCTTTGTACTAATTGCTTGACCGTATACTTTCCACAAACTACTGCTTTTGCCATGGGGAATTTGTAATAATAGATCTTGAGTCCTCATCCATTTAAGGCAATGGCAATTTTACCACTGATAGCAGTTAAGATGAGGGCCAGACATGTATACATAGAACAAGGTCGTATTTAATTATCCACAGTGCTGTTTTTGCTAGAGTTGCCAAAACGTTGCCTGCTGCAATCCTTACAAACAAAGAAAAAAAATGAGCCAACTTTGATCTACTGGCTTAGGTTCCAAAACCTTTAAATTTTTAACAGGATACTGGAAATATCTAACAGCCCCAAACATGAAAAACTTGTCCCAATAACAGCACTGTGTATGAGCAAAACTTTGTATTTGTTTTTGCATAGTTGGCAAAGAAAATAAGCAGTGTTTTACTTACTTTCATATAACATATAGAGTACCTGAGCAGCAAGCTGCTGAAAGAAGCCTGACTGCTGAAACTGAGAAACTGAAGAAACATGAAGGTCAGGAAATGCAAACCACAGAAAGGTAGTGGCCAAAGTTTTAAAGATGTGCTTTGAAGACATTTAAGAAACCTCTGTGTTGATTTAACTTCTTCTCTTTACCCATTTTTTTTTTCTGTCTTAGAAAGGAAGCTGAGCAAAGTGATGCAATATGGAAAAAGAAATTCCAGGTTCTACAGAACAGGTTAAATTTTATTGCATTGGTTGCATTGGTAAGATAATTCAGGCCTACAGATTTTGCAAATTCCATTTGTGAAAATTAAGGTAGTTCCATACATTATTCAGTTATTTAGTTATTAGCATCTGAGGATGTAATATCTAGGTTTAAAAGATTAGAATTAAATATTAGTGGACTAAATATTATACTGTTAACTTGCTTGTAATAATGATAAACACCTCAGACAGGTAAATTTGTACAATTTTGTTAATAGTACTCAGAGTTCTTAAAAGCAAAACTTGTTTTGCATGCTGTTAGACTACATTTTCTTTACTGTGTTCTCATTACATTTTTTGATAAGATTTTAAGGTGTTAATACTCTATTTTTAGCCTATTTGTTTCTCTTTGTCTTCTTTCCTAATGCCCCTCTTTCCCAGAATAATTTTTCACCTCTCTTGTTTCATACTTCACCATTTTCAGCCACTACACTTTCTCTATCCCAGAGTCACAGCACTTTCTTCTGTTTTTCATGTGATGACAATTGTCCTTTATGCATACATTTTTTACTCAGACAGTTTTCTCCTCTGGTCCATCTATCCTCTATAAAATCTTCATCTTCCTTCCCTACATTGTGAAGTATTTTGGCTGAAAAATGCTGATTGTTGAAACCCACAAATTCCCTCGAATCATCAGATGTAATGAACATCTAGCAAGAGATCAGGGAGGCTCCCGCAGAGCTCTGCTCAGAGTCCTAGAGACTGGCTGAGAATTGTGGTGCTTCTTGATCACAGCTCCAGCACAGCTACTAGGGACAGAGCTTTCTGATTTGCCATGAAGCCGTGACTGAGAGTGAGCACCTTGTAAAGCAATGAATCCCTTTGGTCTAAAGCTGGTCCGAGTATAAATCTTGCCTGTTGGAAAAGCCTTATGCTGTTTCTTAGGCAAGTAGTACTTGGAGAGCCAGGTGTGCTAGGACTACATCTATACTGACAAATCATTTTTAATGGTGTAGATACTCACATTTGTCCTTGGGTCTTGGTTCTCCATTAGCCTCAGTGTGTCTCTATTGCTTCACTCATATTTTGGGGGGAATAGAAAAACCTATTCCTCAAGACAAAACCCTAGAGCAGTTCTGGTGCTGGTTTATTCCCTATAGGCAGTATAGATGAGATGGCACACCCACATAAAATCAGGCCACATCTCAGACCATGTAACATATGTGTTTGGCACCATGCTATAAAAACACCTCTCTCACAGGCCACGATGCAGCCCAGTGCTATTTTAGGTAGAAAACTACAGACTAAGAATATCTAAAATGCACATGTACTCCATGGGACACAACCTGGCCCAGTATGAATGCAACCAGTCCACTCTGGAGGTCACTGGTACTGATCAGTGTGGACAGGTTGTGCAGCATGTCTTAGGTCTACAATTTTCTCTCTGCTCTGCAGCAAAATATTTTAGTACTGTGTATCTTATGCAGTGCACTCAGCACCTTTATTGTCCGAAGAAACACACGGGATTTACCAAGACTGAACACTACAGCACACCAATAGGGTGGAAAACCTGAGTAGCCTCCATTATAACAAGGGTTGTCAGAGCTTCCAGAGTCTCTACTATGAACGTAGAAACTGGAGTCTGAAAGCTCTGAAACAGGATGTGGAAACTCTGTGATTTACAGCCAGAGGTAGTTTGCATGTGAGTGTTGCCTGGAATTGCAGAATAGGAGGGCCATAGCAGATACCAAATGGCTTTAATACATTCTTGGTGATATCCTTGCTACTGCTGTAGAGATGAATCAGACAAACTTTAACTTCAAATTTATGGAGTCCTGAAGGAATCTATTTAACCATGTAAACATCATATTTCATCCTTCCCAAGATTTTTTTTTTCAGAATTTCAAGTTTATTACAAATCCATCTGGACTGATACCAAATTTTAAAGAACAAAATTTCCAACCAACTGCACATTCTACTGTATTTCAGACAGGTTTTTTTCCTGTCTTTTTTTATCTCCACAACACCAATCAAAGGTGTGGAAACGTAGTAACTCCTGTCCTGCAAATGGTGAACTGCAATGAAGGTACATCCATGGCACAGCAAACTCTCTGTATTGTACTTTGCTTGCTTAGTTCGATACAGTATCTCTAAGGTCAATGGATAGTTTCTCATTAAGTTCAGTATTCATTGAAATAAGCCCCAAGTTATCTTCTCATCTGAAAATGGTGAGAATATACTCTGTCAATAATATAATGACAGTGTTATCAGTGCTTTAGTAATAATGCAAGTCTCTGTAGAAAAATAAAGCTCTATTATTTTTACCAGGCCTACTTTAATGAGTATACACTGTGTTACCTGAATAGGTAGGTACTAGAGGACTTTTTTAACAGAGACCATTAGAATTACCTGCTTAAATAAGAGATTAATTTGTCATTTCAGAGATAGCTAATCGTTGTAACATCATAGAAACAGATTAATTTCCATTAAAACCTGATTAACACTGATATATATATAGACTATAGAAACATCCTTGGTTTTGCTTCATTTTTTTCTGATAGTTTATTAAAGAGCCACACAAATTATTTTTTCATGACAATGTGATTATCTGGGCAGCAGATATTTGCCTTGAATTTAGCCTGTATATTTTTATATTTTTATTATACTCATATTTTTAAAAAAATAACAATAAAATATGTGAGCCCTCTTGTGGCCGAAGTATCTTCCATGTGTCATATGAAATCATCAAAGACTGTGTGTCCTGCTGAATGAAGTGCCTGAAAAATATCTAGAGAATATTGAATGTAAATTTGTTTAGCTAGTACTTCTAATGTCAGCTTTCTTTCATTTTTTCATAACAATTAAATCCATTTAAGTTTTCTTTTACATTTTTTGTAATTTACTGTATGTAGATAAAATGCCCATGATGTTCTGGTTTTGTAACCAGATACAAACAGGACAAAGAACTCCAAGATTTCTAATAACTTTGTCCATTTGGCTACAATTGCCATTAAAGGTGCTATTTAATGTAAAATGGGGTTTGTGAGGATCTTTTTTATGATACAGGGCTTTTTACTTTAATATCTTCATATATATCAATGATTTGAGTCATATAGGACCAAACATGATTATCAGTCAGAGTTATCTTTTAGTTATTGCTGAACTGGATCTGAACTCTGGCAATTTTGAGGCAGAAGAGTCTATATTTCATTGCCACTTATCACTCTTTCCTCATAAATTCAAGGGAAAATAATCCAAACAGTCCAAACTACATATTCTTACTAAAGAAAAAATCTTGTCACCTGATATAATAATTTTCATGGGTTTTGAGGTTTTTTGCTTCTCTTCATTAAAAAGGTCTGTTTCTGCAGTGTAATACCATTCTTTGTAAAGAAAGAGAAAAAAATTTACAGCTGTTCAAATTACCTCATGAGCTGGACCTTGAGAAATTAGGTAGCAATTTTCATTGATTAGATAAAATATCAGCAGTCTGTGGTTAAAGTTATAGTAAATTTACAGACAGGAAAAGAATGGTATTTTAAATTCAAAGTGTGTATTCTACTCCTCACAGATTTTTCCACTGCATAAGGTCTGTTACTTTACTTACACATTTAATGTAATATAGTAATGGTGTTTTAATGTATGTATGTCCCATGGACTGCTGAACACTTACTGGCTATTTGTTCTAATTTTGCTGATTGATAGTGTTTGCTTTATTATTTCTCCTGAGGCCTGAAAAATATACCAAAAAATACATTTTTTTTCCAACTGGCTATTTTAAAGATATGCTGGAGAGCATTGGTTTCAATATCTTAACCTTTTTCTGTATCACAGTGTTCATGGTTCTTCTGTAAAATTATTTATGACACAGCTTTATATATATATTTGTTAAAGAAATGCAAACTATTAACATATCTATATTTTTCTGATTTAATCTGGTCTTTTATTTTTGTTTTCTGCTATTTTTATTTGTGTTTATCACAATCTTTTCATTAGTATGGGAGCAGATTAAAACTGGAGTGTATTTGTTCATTCTTGCTCTGTTACACCATATCTATTTTTTTCCTAAAAAATGTAACATACATTCATACATCAAAGAGATGCCATATTCACAAACATGCTTGATGTTCATTGTTAAAATGCATTTTATCATTGCATCTTTAATATAAACTCTTCAGGAGCAATTTGCAAAGAGCCACTGTAGAACAAACCAAATTTAAGACCTGTAGTACCTAATACCCTATAGGAATTATATGCAGAGGAAACATACAGGAGTTTGTAGAAAATATGTGAGAGAAGAGGCAAAGATCAGTGAATTCAGTGAGAAGAGAAAAGCCAAACCTCACATTCATTACTGGTGAAATCAGGTAAATTCCTCATTTTCAAAGTTAGGATGAATGCAAATATTAACTGGGCAGGGTAACGGGTAATAATTCATAGATTGATTGATTTCTTTAAATAAGAGGAATTCAGCTGCAGTGGTTTATGACCAGCCTTCAATGTTATTTTAGATGGAAGCATCTCCTAAGATTAGTCACTGATGGTGAAAGTGCTCTGAACTTGAATTCTACTGATTAACGATCATGCAAGATAGGTTGAGTCTACCCAGAACTAATACACTCCATCTATATTTAAGGGTCTCTTATATTTATAACTCCTAAGTGAGTAGCTATCAAATGTCTGCTTCATTATAGTTATTCTGATATTATGGAAATTCAATTTCAGTATGTTTTTAATTATGTATTAGAATGCTTAAGAATGACAACAGGCTAATGTAGGTTAATTTAATGTGAAAATCTTTTCAGTCTGCATGTGATTAAGGATGAGAGGTTTATTAGAAAAAACCTGCAATGCCAGTTACTAGCCCTTAAATGTACATCTCTCAGTGAGACAGTAAGTAAAGACAAGGCAGCTGGTCTATTTTGTTTAATTACTCATTTCTATCAAAAGAAACCTTTCTAATGCAACAAGAAGCCAGCTCATACCATATGACAGTGAAAATTATGAAATGGTAAGTCCAACAGAAGCAGATTGTCAAAGTTGGATGTGCTCAGCCATATGCAATGTGGTCTTGTGTACATAATTTGTCCGTGCAAATAGCACATAAACTGTGCCTTCGCTGGCACACATCACTAGGTAAATATAACATCCATCTGCAGTATATGAATGAACCATAATGATAACTTTTTCAGCCAGTTTGTGAATTCACAACCAGACTGTAGGTTGCCCCTTGCAGCCACCTGATAGAAGGTAGAGAGATCAGGAACTATGAGGTTTGATGTACTACTCGCCCTGTGGGCTACTCACATCTATGTCCTAGCTGCCTCTCAAAACCCATCTACTTGTCTAAAATGTATAAATATGCATTTCTGTAAATATGCATACAAATATTAAATTCCTCGTGTTCCATCCTGCAAAAAGGTCATGTATGAAACAATTCCAGTTCTCAAAACTTAGTGGAAATATGTATGGTTATTTTAATTAAAATTTAGTCAGGCCCTCAGATAGTCTCTCAAGAATTAAGGCCATATTAGATTTGATTTAAATGCTGGTAGCAGACCTCTAGTCCAGTGTCTATTCTTATGGCTAAAGCCAAGTATACACTCTTAAATGTTTTGGTAAAAGTAATTCTTCATACATGTATTTCTCAGTGACTTTAAAAATGAAGATAATTGCTATCTTTTCTGCATTTGTAGCTCTAAATATGCTAATATAATTTAAACATTTTATTTTGGTTTTGTTATATACTTTAACCAGTATAAGCCTTTACCTTGGGCATTGCTCTACTCCTTGTGTTCTGTTTCTGTAGCTCTTCTCCAGTCCTTTTTCTGATTCTGTATGTAAAATCTACTTTTATATTGGAATGAGGTAGAGAGAACATGGGTATGGTGTTGTTCTGACATGTATGTAAAATCTACTTTTATATTGGAATGAGGTAGAGAGAGCATGGGTATGGTGGTGTTCTGACAGGCTCAGTCCCTGGGACAGTCATGATCCCAGAAACGTTTAGTCATCTTTGCTGGTTTTCAGCTAGCACTGGCAGTGCTGTGATTGATAAATAATAGTGATAAGGGCAACCACGACTAGGGATAATATATTGTATGTCACAGTACTTTACGTTTCTGATTAACCATCTTCTTTTTCCTTCTTGTAGTCAGGGGTTTGCTGAGGCTATGAACAAAGAGCTAAGTTAGCTCTGAATGGTTTGGGAGCATGATTTCAGTGGCAGTCTCTGTAAAATTTTTCCCCATGCAGAAGGCCAAGAAATAAATTAAATTAAAGAGAACAGTGATGGATACATTCAAAAGGACTTGAATCTATTACATTTGGTGGCATTTGTGCTGTCAGTCACTATTTTATCTGGCCCAGAATTCAAGGAAAGGAGTCTTTGGGGAGCAGGGAAAAGAGTTTTTAGTTTCCAGAATTGAAGCTAAAGTATGGTTGTCTCAGAGATGCAGTTCTGCTGTTCAGTACATGGGATCAGAAGGCGTGGAGGCAGCTTCTAAGAGAGCATTTTATTTTGACTAGGTAAGTAGGGATGTTTGGGATGCTTAAGTGTTTATGACTCATTGCAAATGCAGTCGTTTCCGTTCTTGATATGCAGATAAATGTCTGATTGTTTCAGGGACTGGAGGTTTCACACTAGTTTCCTTTACAAAGACTGTCTCACAAATACATAGGCCTTGAGAATACCTACCAAGCAGGAATTTGTCCAACTAGGCACTGTTATTAACATTTCTTGGTAACTGCCAATGTTTCTGGGAATTTGAGCCAAATGTTGTATTATTTTTTTCTAAAAAAAAAAAAAAAAAAAAAAACACAAGCAGTTCATCCTTTTCTGCTTTCTTCAGTCTCTGCTAGTCTTTTGAAACTGATCTGGAGAGTTTCTTGGCTGGTTGCTACCTTCTTTCTACCACCATTACTACAGCAATTTCCATCTGACTTTTTCAAAGATGACGAACAGAGGAAACCCAGGCATAACAGACCCTGTGTTTCTTTGCTTTTCCAAGTGCAATCTATTACTCCCTCCCATATCTAGGTGCTAAATGTTATTTAGCAGTCTTCACAGTATTTTGCTTACCAAAGTCTCAGGGTAAGAGGGAAGCTAAGGGACTTCAAATAAAGCACAACAAAACATAAATGCAATTGCATTTCAGCGTGATCAAGAACTCATGGAAAATCTCCATTCTCTTTTAACAAGCCAGAAGCACGTTTCAGCTTACAAAATAGTAATATGGACTTGCTTTAATTCTTCAAACCTATCACTCTTACTGAATATTGGCTGAATGAAGAAAAATAACGATTTTTTTTTTTTTTTTTTGAGATACTGAAAGATGATCAGCTGAATTGTGACTGTTGAAGTACAAAGAAACCACGTTTTCAGCAACAAGGTTATTGGGTTTTGCTGGTGGTTTGAAAGAACTGTTGCTAGCTTCAGTGCGGCACCATGGAGCACAAAGGAAAAAAATGTGATTGAGAATATTCCTATTTCTGAAATATCTCAGCAATTGTTTCCTTAATAAGACCAGCTGGTCTGATCACCGTGTTCTGATGATGCTCAATGTTTATATTATATGAAGCTATTTATAGCATTCATAGATACTTTGTAAATGTCTGCTCTAAGCTATTTTAGACCTCATATGTACCAAGGTTCAAAGTTAAGAGTTCAGGTTACTTTTGGAACTTGTTGGAGTACACAGGGTGACCAACTGGGGTAGAGAATTAATTGATCCCGCAGTTCATAGGACCCACCTCTGGCATCATAGCAGTCTAGAACGTAAGATGTTAGTATGCCTTGCTCTGATTTTTTTAAAGTCACAAACTATTTTTCGGTAGTGGGAAATGTTCCTGTAACCTGAATTCTTTCACTGGAAAATGCTTCTAAGGTCTGAGAAACTTTGAGTTTCTATATGTCACCCCAGGGACTGATTTTGTTTGATGTTGTACTGTGTTTTGTTCCCAGCACTTTTGAAAGAAAAAAAAAAAAAAGCATTAGTTGGCCAAACAGGAAAACAGGAATATTCACTGTGGCATCAATTTTACTGAAAGGAAAATACTACCTGAACTAAAGAAAATTATTAGAAAGAAATTTCTTGATTAATTTCCTTTAAAGCAATCCTAACCCTGATACTTTAGAATGATTGAAAAATATTAAAATAAATTCATCACTTCACTTATAAAAGGACTATATTGAAAACTGCGACTCAACAGAAGACTCCTCCAACATATAGTAATGTTTTGTCTTCTGCATGGAGCTTGATATCTTTCTCATGAATAGTTGACTAGATTGTAGAGTGTAACATCTGCATGCATAATTGAAGCTATACAGAAATAAGTGTTCTAATTACCAGTGCTATAAAATGTCATTGCAGTTATAGACCTGTACTGCTGGGTGACAACTGCCCTATAGGTTCCCCTCTAAGAGAATATGGGTTATTCTGAAAGAATCCTTGGTATTTTCAATAACTCTTCTGACCTGCAAAGTTCCTTCTTAGCAACTGATAAACTCTGTGTTGAATATTCTGTAGTAACCAACTTCACTCATGCTTCTATATCCAAGTGAATTGTTAGAAGGCTTCCAGTCTGTTTGGCCATATGGATTTTCTGTTTTGTACCCCTACACTCTCTCTTGTCACAGATGCTGCTGCTAATGGAATGAGCAAGACACAACAAGTACTAAGAAAATTAACAATTTTTAAATAAAAAAAAAAAAACACTTTCTCTCACCTCTTCCTGATTTGCGGTATTGACCTACTTACCTTTAATAGCAAGATACACTTGCAGATGCTTTACCTTTCCTCTCTTGTGGATTATCGCCACAGGCTTTCTGTGAGTATTTTGAACAGTCAGCTGTCAGAGTATGTACAGATAGAATTCAAGTGGTGCAAGTGGCTTCTTTGCAGAATGTCTCATTTCCACCTGTGTTATTGCTGGACTATTGATACACGATGCCACATATGGGAGGACAGTCCCAGAGTCCTTATTCAATATTGGCTGCAAGAGCTTTCTCTGGGTATAGGGAGTTTTAGGAGGTGCACTGCTTGGAGTCACAAACCATATGAATGTATAGGTAAGTACACACCAAAAGAAGAAAATTATCGGTAACTGTTTGTTGCAGATTAATTTCTGTCATGTGTATGCAGGTCCCCATGGTCCCTTCCCCTCCTACCTCACCTTCTCAGTCCTCTGAAGACTTTTTCAAAAAAATCCAAATAGAACATTCTTTCCCGGAGCTCGTGTTAAATGTGAGATAAGGATGAAGAAAGGGTGCTTCCCTACATTCCCAGTCTTAACTGCTTGGATTTGTATATCTACAGTAATGAAGAAACAGCCTATCTTAACAAACAACATCAATAAATAAGTACCAGTCAGAAAATACAAGTTGTTGAAATAAGATTTTTAAACTGTTAAATACAGTAGGTAGTCTGTCCAAAACTGGACAATGATCTGCTCTTCTAATACTAAAACAATTTGCTTGATTTGCTTCAAATCATCTGATCAGAGGTTCAGGGAGAAAAACTGGTAAATGCCAAACTGAAACTAGTATGTTTGAGCTTTCCAAGGAAATATACTTTGCACACTGATACCCCAGTTCAAAAATAAATGTCTATAAGGTACAAATGTAATTTATGTAGAAATTATCAATTTTATGTCAAGAATAACAAACTAGAATTTCTTTTCAAGACACTGAAGCCCTCATAAGGAAATGCTTCAGATATATGATTCCTATTTAAAATAACTTTGATTGATTTCATTGCAAGCTGTCAATTTACGGAAATATTATTGACATCAGTTCATAAATTTTCACTTAGTGAAATGAATGTGAATTTATTTTTTAAAATGGTGAAATTCATCATTCTGATAGCACTGGCAAACAGTACGGAAGTGAGAACAGTTTTAGTGCTCCACATCAGAGCACCAGTGAAATAATCTCTTGGCTGATTTATCCACACACCCATGGATAAATCCAGTGAGTTGCATATACTGAAGTAGAACTAATTGCAGTAGATTTCAGGTGAGTTCATTGTTCAGAACTTTTTCAGTTTAGAAATTGTTCTTAAAGCAATAAAATTACAGAATGGTTTAATGCATAGTTTTCTATTAATAACTTTGCTGACATTTAATGAAATAAATAATTGCTTAAGCAAAGACGTGAAAAAACAGCGGCTTAGGAATGTATGATAATCTAAATCAAGTAAATTTTAGGAAGTGAACTGTTTCCTTTATCTATTCTTGAAGTTCCTGAATTTGGGATTCAAGTGCTACGTCACTTCCCCCAATTGTCTGCCTCCACATACAAGTTTAATAATGCAATATAATTTATGGTAAAAATAATTGTTGCTTTATTAGCTTCAATATATATTCTTTATTGCCATACAAATATATTTTTATTTAAAATTTATGATGTCTAATGTTAAGCCTTTTTAAATGTAAAAGATAAAATCATATTCCAGTTTAACGTCCTGCAAAACAACTTTATAAATGTAGGAGATGTATCAAAACTCTTTATCCCGGGCAGGTTCCAGCTCATGTACCTGCCCCCACCTCACCTATATCTTTTTCTTTTCTTAAACAGAACTTTTTCAGTTCTTTGCTACTTTTGTAAAGTCGTCACAGGTAAGTACAGCCTGGTGAGTCACACATACCCCTGCGGAAAGCCCTGCGGCGGAGGAGGCTGCTCCAGGATTCTGCGAAGTGACTGTGGTGCTGTGCATGCAGGGGAAAGCCTGTGCGGAGAGTGAACGACGGTAATAGAGGATCTAGTCAGGGAGAGAGAATTCGGGAGAATTACATGAGGTGCCAGCTGTAACGCATCAGGCAGAGACGGTCTCACACTGTCCTGAAGTCACCTCCCGCCCGCCCGCCCCTCCCGAGGAGAACCGGCAAGCAGGGAAGATGCCAGGTCTACCCTGCTCCTGGAGAAACGGAACGCGTTGATTCCACTGAAGTCTGAAACGTAATTGCTCGTTTAACGTGCGCGCTGGGCAACGAGGAAAAGGCGAGAGAGTGTAAATGTGAAGTGTGTCTCTGCGAGTCGTTACAGGCGCGGCTCGGGGCGACCCGGGCGCCTTCCCTGGAAACGGCAGCTCCCGCCCCGTGAGGGAGCCCCGGCTCCCCGCGGGGAAAGAGGCGCCCGTGGGCGTCAGCCCACGTTCAGCCCCGCTTCCAGTCCCCGCTTCAGCCCACGTTCAGC